CCGCTGAATAGCTTCAGCGAGAGGATTCTCCAAAGCAGGAATGTTGCACCTCTGAGAACTCAAGTGTGAGTTTTCCCGTCTGCACTTGAGGGTCGTTGTGTGCCAGACGGGATTTTTTGCCATGCATGGCCGTGATGCAGCAGAAGTGAGATCCTGGGCATCACCTTAATGCGTGCGCAGCAAGGAAAACATGCAACCCGCTGAATAGCTNNAGAACTCAAGTGTGAGTTTTCCCGTTTGCACTTGAGGGTCGTTGTGTGCCAGACGAGATTTTTTGCCATGCATGGCCGTGATGCAGCAGAAGTGAGATCCTGGGCATCACCTTAATGCGTGCGCAACAGGGAGCACCCGTCACACATCCCATTGTCCAGGTTAGCCTCTTGCTCGATATCTGTGGTGCTAACATATAGGCTAGGGCAGCTCATTTTGCACACCTAGAAATTGCCTTCGGCATAGTCCTGCTGCCGGTATTTTTCGGCTTGATGCTTCTCTGAGCAAAGGAGTAAAGTCCAAGGCCTTCCAGCCATTTCTCCTTCAAATTTCAAGCTCAAAATCCGAAAATGCTAAGGGATCGAAGATAATTTGTCCAGGAGGAATGCCCGGTACTTGGCGGACTGGGTATTCATCAGTTGTGGAATGGGCCATAGAATTGAATGTACAATGTACACAACACTTCTTCCGCACCATTCTTTGCTATCCGCCCGCAACTCCAGATACACTGAAGGCCAGGAAGAGAACAAATTGTATTCCTACTTCAGGAGGAAACTGTATCACTAGCAGCAAAGTCTTGCGCAAGGATTTGGAGGCCCTGGAGCAAGACCTTCCGAAGATGGAGGCTGTCAAGCATGTCATGTGCATTCTTGGAGAGCCTGGAAAAGATACACAGGTAACCAGCAGGGTGGAAAGGCAGAATAGGTATGTCATAGCCAAGATATGACTATGACACGGCTTATACCTGCCTATAAGGCACCAAGTCAGATGTAGGGTCGTATTCTGACCGGCTTTTCAATATAGGCAAAATATAGGTGAATTCGTCAATATTCATCACTGAAAGCACGAGCCTTAACAAAGAGTGTAGGGAAGATTCCACGCTTCTGGTATCTGGGAGGTTGCGGGCATGATGCATACTTGCAGGGTCAGGGGGACGTAGTAAGTAGGCTAATAATGAGGATAACTAGGGTTGTTAACCTACTGCCTACTTACTAAGCCCCCTGACCCTCCGAGTATAGGGTATATAAGCAAATGGCCTTTAACCCTCAAACCCAACTCGTCCATCCTTGCCTCATCCCTCAAACCGTAGCCCTGGCAAAAAGACGGGTTCCTCCTACAAAGGGTCACCTTCTTTAGGATGCTCTAACAAACAGGGCTCCAGAAGCGCCTAAATATGACGTGCTAGCAAGCGGGAATCCTAGGGCTTTCAAGTTTGTAGTATGTTATTTGGGGATACTATGGTACCCAGTATAGAGTAGGATTATATCCTCCTTTTGGGTATAGTATTTTATATAAGGAATATAATTTTACTGGTTGAACCACCAAAAACCACCACTCAGATGTTCTTACAGATTATTTGGAGGGTCAGGGGGACTCGAAGACAGGGAATAAGTGCGGTTATAAGTAGACTTGCCAAGTCCCGCACTTAGGTTCTCCTACGCGCTGTAAGTCCATATGAGCTATAGTCTAAACTCCTTAAAGGGGGGTTATATAGGGGATTATATAGGGGACTACTATGGGGCTTATTAAGGGGGATACTAGGAGTTTAGACAATGGCTCATATGACTGCGACAGGCTCCTTCTTATGGGGCTTGGGGAAACCAAGCTTCCCTTGTTAGTTCTTGCCGGAGGGAGGACTATCCAGCCTTGTAAGCAATTATGGGGAGCTTCAAGCGCCAAGGCAAGGGAGAGAGGTTTGAAGGCTCATTCGTTCACCAAATGCCTGTCAGAGTTTCTCCTGCTTGACAACACAGAGACTGCAACAATTACTACTAGGATTTCCCGAGTCGTGTTTCTGGATAGTTCCAGCGTGCTGCAATCCACCCGCACCCTAGAACCTAGACGCTACATACGCCATAGGCTTCAACCTGGACGCAAGTAGCACTCTGTCGTGTTTTTCTTTAATGTTTGCTAACTCAACAGACTATCAAGAAGGAATAGCAGATCATCATGTGAAATGCTAACCTAATTAGGTACCAGATTCGGTGTTTTTGTCTTCAGGCCTGCAGCCTATGTAGATAAAGACTCGGTTAAGGGTTTAGGGATTTTGATCTAGGGTTTGGGCCAACAATGAGCCCTAACCCTAAACCCTAAACTCCTAAACCCTAAACTCCTAAATCCTACACCCCTAAACCCTAAACCCCTAAATCCTACACCCCTAAACCCTAAACCCCTAAATCCTAAACCCCTAA